TTGACCTCACCCTATTACTAAGAGGTCTGTAAGGGGCGTGCACAAATGCACCAGCGTGCCTACTGTCCCTGTCCTATTGTCCCCATTTATTCATAGCCATTTCATGTATTCATAATCATATTTATACTTATATCTATTATCTTATACATGCTTGACCAATAATAAATAAAATAAAATAAAAATAAATAAAACCATCCAGGTTATGGTTGTCCCAAAGGTGGTTTTCCAGGATGTGACTGGACTTTCTTGTGTTTTCTTTTGAAGACGCTTCAGAAAGAATCATGACCTGGATAACTAAGAATCTCTACAGCAGGGATGTCCAAACTTGGGAACTTTAAGACTTGTGGACTTCAACTCCCAGAATTCCCCAGCCACCATGGCTGGCTGGGGAATTCTGGCAGTTATAATACAATAATGCAATACAATAGCAGAGTTGGAAGGGACCTTGGAGGTCTTCTAGTCCAACCCCCTGCCTAGACAGGAAACCCTATACCGCTTCAGACAAATGGCTATCTAACATCTTCTTAAAGACTTCCAGTGTTGGGGCATTCACAACTTCTGAAGGCAAGCTGTTCCACTGATTAATTGTTCTAACTGTCAGGAAATTTCTCCTCGGTTCTAAGTTGCTTCTCTCCTTGATTAGTTTCTACCCATTGCTTCTTGTTCTGCCCTCAGGTGCTTTGGAGAATAGTTTGACCCCCTCTTCTTTGTGGCAACCTCTGAGATATTGGAACACTGCTATCATGTCTCCCCTAGTCCTTCTTTTCATTAAACTAGACATACCCAGTTCATGCAACCGTTCTTCATATGTTTTAGTCTCCAGTCCTCTAATCATCTTTGCACTCTTTCTAGAGTCTCCACATCTTTTCTACATCGTGGCGACCAAAACTGAATGCAGTATTCCAAGTGTGGCCTTGCCAAGGCATTATAAAGTGGTATTAACACTTCAGGTGATCTTGATTCTATCCCTCTGTTTATGCAGCCTAGAACTGTGTTGGCTTTTTTGGCAGCTGCTGCACACTGCTGGCTCATATTTAAATGGTTGTCCATTAGGACTCCAAGATCCCTCTCAGTTACTACTATTGAGCAAGATACTACCTATACTGTACCTATGCATTTTGTTTTCCTTGCCTAAATGTTGAAGTCCACAAGTCTTAAAGTCCCCAAGTTTGGACACCCCCGCTCTACAGGCTTTTAAAGCTTTGCAATGCTTTCTCCGGAAAAAACACTGCAAGCACTTCCCGAGTAGAGAAGCCACGGCTGCAGTTCCCCGCGTTGAAGGCAGAGCGGCGCTTCTTTGCCTCAGCCACCCTTCAAACCGGCTGTGTTTACATTTTGCTGACAACTCCACGTTGCCGAGATTCCCTCCGTTCTCATTGGCTGCGGCGCGCCGATTGACTCCGCCCACAGGGGCGGCGACCAAGTGCCAAACAAACCAGCAGGCCAGGCTGAAACCCGGGCAGCGGCGGGTTCCAGGTGCTCCCCGAGCTGCCGCTGCGCCTGGTGGCATTAAGGCGGATGGGGCTCATCGGGGAGCGGGGTGGGACCATTATATCTCGCACCTGGGAACGAGGACGCGCGGGCCTGGGACAAGGGGCTTCGTTTTATCCCTCCTGGGCTAATTCTCCCCGAGTACAAACCTGGCATCTCCCCCGGGTATTTCCAGGGAAGAGGCAGATGCTCTCGGAGCTACCGGGCTGGCGGTAGCACCACGCCGCCCCTAGCGACCCGAGGGGGGGCACTCATCCCTGCAGGGAGCCGCTCGAAGCGGTGATGTCAGCGAAAACACATTTGGCGGGACTGGAAGGGGAAGGGAGGATATGCCTGGCCGCCGGCAGGCACTCAGCGGCGTGCTGTTGCGCAATCGCCGGGTTTTTGGGGGGTGTTTGTGTGGTGATGCTGGGGGAGAATAAAGCAGGCCGGATCAGAGCTTCTTTCTGCGAAGCGCGCCGAGCGGGTGCAGGAAAGAGACACCCCCCCAGCACCGCCACCCTGGCCCGGTTTTGAGCAGCGGCTTTCAAACTCTCCCTTCCCTCTACCTGCAAAGGGGGGAACAGCAGCCTCACCAGACTAAGCCGCCTTCTCTCTTGGAGGAAAAACGAAACAAAACCCCGGGGCCCTGGATGCGGGTTGAAGCGCCGGAGGAGCAAGCAAGGCGGGCGGGAGAATCCGCAGCCCGGGAACCGCAGGCGCGGACTGGAGGGACGAGCCGGGAGCCGCGCTGGCGCATGCGCAGGCCTGCCCCATATAGAGCCTTGGCGCCGGCGCCAGCTGAGAACAGTTCAGTTTCTGCGCGGCTGAAGCAACTGAGGTGCGGTGCGTGGGGGCTCCGGCGGGGAGGCGGGCGAGGATGCCCCAGGGGGCGGCGTGGGGGGTGTTTGCCCTGCCCGGACTTCACCCCCATCCCTTTTTCCTCTGCCACGCGAGGGAGCGCTGGATGGGGGAGCGGCTGTGGAGATGCTTTCGGGGGGGGGGCACTGCGCCCCAAGATTCTGAGGGGGGGCTTGGGGGGTAGATGGATGCGGGCACCCCATGGCCATTGGCAGCGGGGCAGAGGCGCCAGGCTCCTCGCCAGGGGGAAGGAAGCCAGAAGGCGGGATGCACGCCCGCCAGCTCTCCGGCTTGCAGTTTTGGAGGGAGAATGAGGCGGGGAAGGGGAAATAACGGGGATCCCCAGCCCATCCGACCTCGGGGAGGTCAGCTCGGAGGGTGTCGTGGCGGGAGAGAGGGGTGTCTGCCCTTCGGGTGGAAAAGGGCGGCTTCTGGGTGGTTTCATATCCCTTTCCCCCCCTCCCGCCCAGAGGGAATCCCGGGCATAAGATGAGGTTTGGGGGGGGGACTTTGGCTGGAGTGGGGGGTGATCTAGACTTAACCGAAGTGGGGGGCTATGAGCCTTCAGCGAAGGGGATATATATATATATATATATATGCTAAGGTAAGACCTGGCTCGATCGGCCTGTCTTTGCTGGGAGTGCCAGATATTTTTGGAGGGAGAGAGCCGGACTCCCCTCCCGCGTTGCAAGAGCGGGGGGGGGGGGGAAGCCCGCCCGTTCATTTCCCGGGCTGCCCCACCACTTACCCTTCTTTCACCCCCCCCTCCACCTCCAATCCAGATGGGGTGCCGGGCATGCGCGGAGGTGGAAGGCGCTTTCTCACCAGAAGGCGGGAGAGAGCCAGTTTGGGGAGGGGGGGCTCGTTGGTCCCCCCCAAATTCCCTCCCACCCCCCAAGTATTTGCCTGGGGGGGATGTCAAAAGACCGGTTCTTGATCGGTGCTGTCCTGGGGTGGGGGTGTCCGGACTTGCTCCATTTGGAGGGAAACCTTAATGCAAAGAGTGGGGAGCAATCGGGGTTCCTAGGGTTCCCCCTTGGAGCACTTCTGTCAAAGGTCTCCCTTCGACTCTCGGGGTGCGAGAAATAAAGCACTTTCTCTCCACCCCCAAATAAGTAACTGAAGGCGGGAAAGGTTTCCTGTTCCCTTGTGTGACTCTGTTTAAAGGGGTGTTTCCACCCCACCCTCCGGTTCCCGCTTGCGACCTCCCCCCCCTCACCCTTCCAAATTTAGCAAGTCGTTATTGCACCCCATTTCCCCCCTCCCCTTTACTTGCATCCCCCCCCCGGACCCAGCAACTGCACGCCAGCAGGTTTAAGAGTGGCGACAATCGGGACTTGGGTGGACATTGGGAGGACGAATTGCTGCTGTTGCCGCCTTCTTCACTTTACCCGCTCTCTGAAAATTTGCGCGGGGTTGTTAAGAGCGGAGAACCGGGGGCATTTGAAGAGCTCCTGCCTCCTCTTGACCAGCAAAGGTTATAGAACAGGTTCAGGCCCCTTCCCCACCAGCAGAAAGAAGGGGAGGGGAGGGGGATCATGAAGTTTTGTTTTATTTTTGGTTTCCCGAACCAAGAGAAACCACAATGTATCTGTTTGTAGTCATAATGAGATACCATAATAATGGATCAAATAAAGGCTGGGAGTTGTACAGTAGTCAGTATGTATATCTGTGCCTAGAAAAGTTTCAGGTATAAAACCGGCTCCTACTGAAGGTACAGTTGGGCTAGTTCTTAAACTTCTCAGATTTTCAGTATCTCCTATGTATCTGTATCGCTTAATATTGGATTATACAATTCTCACTTCATTGTAACTAATACTGTGCAGGGCTAAAACACTGTATAGGGTTAGTTGCTTTCGAGAAAAGAAATAGGAGGTGCCTCAAGCAGGATCTTTAAATATAGTACAAAATGGCTACTGTGAGGCAATAAATGAAAATAGGCGAACCTGAAACTTACTAGATTCTTTGAAAGAATGGAAAGGTAACCTTTACTTCTAATGGGTTACACTAGTGATTCTCAACCTTGGCAGCTTCAAAAATATGTAGACTTAAACTCCCAGAATTCCTCAGCCAATAATTCTGATAGCTGAAGTCCACACATCTCCAAGATGCTACGGCTGAGAAATACTGGTTTAGAGAAATCTGTTATCTTAGGTTGAGAGGGTGTGCCAGTCTCCCAATTCAAGTCACCTGATTCAGGCATGCAGAATTTTCCCAGGATGAAACATGACTGGTGTGGGCAGTTTGCCCAATGAATTTTCCAAGCCCAGGCTTTTCAGGAGAAACGGGAGCCTGCCTTTCTGTGGAGCACTAGTTTCTTCTTGTTGTACATTTCAGAACCTGAATTCCAGAAACATGTATTTGGATCTATTCCTGCTTAGGCGGAGGGGATGTGTGGACTAGATGACCTACAAGGTCCCTTCCAGCTCTGTTTATCTGATGTGCCATAAATTTGTGCATTGGTCCTTTGTTGTTCTTCATGTTGCTATAGCAAGTCTTGGTGCAGTATGCAACTCGCATGCATACATAGAGACAAGTTCCCCAATTTTTGGGGTGCAACAAATGAAGCACTTTTTCAGAATAAGTAATCGAAGCTCAGAATTTTCACAAGCTAGTGTTTAATGGCGAAACTGTGGCTTTGAATTAACATCTGATCTTCTGTTATTTGCAGGAAATAATCTGGAATTTCCAATAAGATGTCCAGACGAAGGTAATGATCACTTTTATAATTATACAGTGCAAGTAAAACAGTGCACTCTTCTATATATCTGATGGAATAAAATATCTTTCCTTTCTGCAGCAGCCGTTTGCAAGCTAAACAGCATCAGCCATGCCAGGACACATCTCCAGAAGAGCTGCAAGTCCCATTGTCACTTCAGAACAGAAAAAGGAAATCAATGCAGGTGGGTTGGAATTTTAAGAGTCACATATAGAAAAAAGATTGTGTAGCAACTGGGGTGGCCTTATGGAATGACTAGTGGTATGCAAAGAAGAGACTTCTTAGGGGTTTCTTACAGGGGTTTTTAAATAAAATTTTAAGGGGGGGCGGNCTCATTTCACCCACCTCGGAAGGATGGAAGGCTGAGTCAACCTTGAGCCGGTGAGATTTGAACTGCTGAACTGCAGATAACAGTCAGCTAAAGTGTCCTGCAGTACTGCACCCTAACCACTGCTCCACCTCGGCTCCTATGGCCGTGTGACATGGCCACAGGGATGCCGCAATGGTTGTAAATGTGAAAAAATGGTATTCAGTCATGGTATTGTCATTTCCCCCCAATAATGTTGTGACTTTGAATGGTCACTAAGTGAACTGTTGTAAGTTGCCTGCTGTGTCCCATAAACGTTGATTAAAAAGAGGTAGCTAACAGTTGGCTGAGCTTTAATCAAAACTCGGGAACCGTAGACCAAAGCATCCAATAGTGGAGATTTATTTTATTTATTTGAGTCAGCCTTCTCCACCCTGTGGTCAGAAGGATTTGGGAACACGTTTATTTGTATTTATTAGTTTGTCAAACATGTACAAAATAGCAGGTATAAATATAGACATGGACATGAACAAAGGAAATGAATACAATGAATGGGGACAGTAGGACAGGGACGGAAGGCACGCTGGTGCGCTTATACACACCCCCTTTAAGGACCTCTCAGGAATGGGGGGAGGTCCACGGTGGACAGTTTGAGGTTGAAGCTGTGGGGGGTTTGAGAATGTAATAACGGAGTCAAGTGGAGCATTCCAGGCGTTGACCACTGTTGCTGAAGTCGTATTTTCTGCAATCGAGTTTGGAGCGGTTTACCTTGAGTTTGTATCGATTGTTTGTCCGTGTGTTATTGCGTTTGAAGCTGAAGCGTTGACAGGTAGGACGTTGTAGCAGATAATTTTGTGTACTACGCTTAAGTCAGACCGTAGGCAGCGTAGTTCCAGGTTGTCCCAGCCCAAAATTTCGAGCCTGGTGGCATAAGGGATTCTGTTGTGAGCAGAGAAGTGGAGGACTCTTCTCGTCAAATACCTCTGGACTCGCTCGCTCGTATTAATATCCAATATACAGTGTGGATTCCAGGCAGACGAGCTGTATTCGAGGATTGGTCTAGCAAAGGTTTTGTATGCCCTAGTTAGCAATGCAATGTTACCGGATTATGTTAGCCTCTATGTCTTGAAGTTGATAAAGGTACAACAATAAACGCCCCACGGCATTAAACGGCCCTAGGATAGGACCTATCCTAGGGGAGGGCGGAAGGTGATGCCCGACTGGCAGTGGCTCTCCTCGCCCGGAAATGCAGCAGCCCCGCTCTTCATCTCTTTAATTTATTCCCGTGCTTGTCCTTTTATGCATCTGCCAGCATTGATTTGCAGGAATAAATACGTTTGTTAATATATTTACCGTGACGCCAGAGAAGCCACACCGCAGGGAGGAGAAATGTCTGGAAAGCCATTAATTCTTTTCACGTTGGCTGAATAATGACCAGCTATCCCCATTAAATGCTGACATCTACAGATAATGGGTGGGAAGGAGGGGGAATGGAAACGGGGAATGGAAGCTGGCTGGGTCCTTCTCTAGACCAGTGATAGCTAACGTTTTTGTCATCACGTGCTGAAAGCATGTACGTGCATGCACGACAGCGTGCCCGCCTGCCCGCACCAATAATGCAATGCACGTGTGAACCCCCATGCTCCCATGCCCCCCCGTGCATGCAACCCGCTCCCCCTGGCCCCATTTCTGCTTCCAAATTGGTGCAGCAGGCTTCCAGGCCCAAAACGGGGCATGAAGGGACATCACAGGGTGCCCCCGCACCCCGTTTTGGCTTCCAGGTTGGGGCAGGAGGCCCTCCAGGCCCAAAACAGGGCAGAGGTACTGCGCGAGACCCCAATGTGCAATGCAAGCACCCCCTAGGCACGCGCCCCACCATGCGTTCCCGCGTTCCCACCTGCGCCCCGCCGCCCGCATGCACAGCAGAGATCTAAAGGCCAAGGTGATGTGCAATAGAGCTGGGCTGGGGCAGCAGCTGGTGTGCCCGCAGAGCGGGCTATGTGTGCCACCTATGGCACGTTTGCCATTGGTTCACCATCACGGGTCTAAGAAATACTAATCCCATTGATAACTGTGCATTCCACTGCCAGCAGTTCGATCCAGACCAACTCAAGGTTGACCCAGTCGTCTGTCCTTCGGAGGTTAGTAAGATGGGGACCCAGATTGTTGGGGGCAAAAGGTTGACTCTGTAAACCACTTAGAGAGGGATGTTAAAGCACTGTGAAGCGGGATATAAGTCTAAGCGGTATTGCTATCTTCCTTCCTTCCTTCCTTCCTTCNAAGTGCAATATGGCTGATCCCCTTGTTTTCTTCTCTACTTTTTGGGAAACAAAGTTGTCTGCTAGGTGTTAGGAACTGTTGGAGCTTCCACTTGGTGCAGAGTTTCTTTCCCAGTTAATGTCAGGGTAGTTAACTCAGTCCCTTTCTTGGATGGGTGCAAACCATCTCTTTTGTACAGTTTTTCATTGGACCAGCCACAGGAAGATTCAAATGAAATGGAGTTAAAGGGCCACTACCTACTCCTCTTTTTCTCTCTGCTTCCCCCCTTCCAGTCAGCAGCTTAAATCACCAGCCAGGTCAAGACAAAACAGCCTGAATACAGTCTAGTGACTCTAGTCCATTAGCAAGACAGATGGGAACAATTCCTTCTGGTATAAAAAGAAACCCTAAGCCCACTGCACCCTGCAGAAAAAAGAGTCAGAATTTGAACCTTCATTGTGATACAGCTAATGTTAGGTATAAAGTAAGCACATTAGTTTTGCTCATTAATTTAAAAAAACTACTTATAAGTTATTTCTATCCTTAAATGTCTGTACTTACTTTTAGTTCTTGTATTTGACATGGGAAGCCTCAAGATTTAGGATACTGGCTTTGATTGGTGCCTGGCCCTATGGATCACACTTAATAAAGCATAGCTTAGTTTCTTATGTTATTATACATATTGTAATATGCTATAATGCCACATCATTAACTTAATAGTTAAGGAAAATTACTGTAGCAGAAAGAAAAGGAAATAGAAGAAGTATTCAAGTAAGTAATTAACCAATTTATTCTCAAATCAGAATGATGATAGTATTAGACTATCATTGGCTGATTCATAATGTCTAGGATAGTGAACATAGCTTATGATGTGTGAGAGGGGAGAGGGAGGGATAATTCTGGTAGAATAGTAGGAAATAATATTTGCAACTGGGAATTTGAAGAAAAAAGAAATAAACATGGGGTGAGTAGGGAAAAATAAGTTATAGCCCTGAACGAAAGAAGGAATCAAAGCCTGCTAAGCAATGATAAGATTTATTCTGGTTGATGCAAGATTACTCAATGATATTTTTTTGGGTGGGGTGGTGGAAAAGCACTTATCGCAACTGTTTATCTGCAAATAATTTATCAACAAAAGGTGAAGATAAAAATCCTGCATGTATTATGGAACAGGAGCCACCCCAGTTTCCCACACCTAAAGGCTTATGCATGAATCCCTAAAGAATAAAGGAATAAATTAAATTGCAGAACCTAATTAGGCATAATGCTCAGTTATCAGATAGGAACAAAAGGCTGAAAGGTTTTGGACTTAAGAACTAAAATAAAAGGAGGGAGATGAGGGAGAAAGAGAGGAAGGAAGAAAAGAGAAGGGGAATTTACATGAGCTTCAATATCTAGATTCTAGTGCAAACCAGCCTAACTTTACTTTGGCACCTGGATCTACCTAGGAAGCTCCAAAAGAAAGCAATAATGAAAATGATACGGCTCTGTCAGAAGAAAATCAGTCTGAGGGATCTGAAATAGATTCAAATCCAAAAATAGCTGCTTACACATAGTCAGAACTAGAACTTGTGTTAGAGTTAAGAAAATTTCAAAGATCTAATCAAGAGTCTTTGATGCCCAGTTACAATAAGGAATGTGCCTGACTCCAGTTCATGGAAGAAATACAGAGACTGCTTGCACCTGAAGCACAGAAATTGAAGGAAGCTGCACAGGAGGATATGGAATCATTGCCCAAAAACAAAACATGGATTCTAATATAATTAACAAGGGGCAAGAAATCCATAGACTATAACTGGGTTTTCAAAACATATCATAATGTTCATGGAAATGTGCAATACCAACAACTAGGTTAGAAACAAAGGGCAATCCACAAAATAAGACTAGGATTATGACTTTTTAATATAACTAACATGCAGAATTTTACTACATATAGCAGCATTTGGAAAATTGCATGTGAAATACTTAGATGTCAGGTTAGCATTTCTCCATGGTGAGATGAAAGAGAAGATTTACATCAGGTTTTGAAGAGCCAGGAGGAAAAAAATAGATGTATAAATTGCAAAAATCCATATATGTGCTTAAGCAAGCAGACAAAGCACAGTCTGATTAAATTAAATTAAATATTGCAAAACATAGGTTTTGAACAAGTAAATGCTGGCCCAGGCTTACATACAACAGTAAAAAAAAAAAAGACCTCTGTACATTTTTTATTAGGTTAATGATTTAATTGTATGTGCAGAGGACGAAAGGGACAGCTTGAAGATAATAAGCAATTTAAATAAAGAAGTGGAGTAAAACCTCTTAGAGATATGAGCCACTATCTTGGAAGTGAAATAAAAAAGGAAAGAAGTGGGGAGAATTTGCATGGCTGCACAAATTACCACAAGACTTTAAAATAAAAGAACCAATCTCAATGTCATTATTGGAGGACAATGCATAAGAATTGCAAAGACAAAGCAGTCCTGATCCAATATGAAATGCATAAATATTAAACTTAACTATGTGAAGAAAGTACACTTTACTGTCAATACCAGGAGCAAATAAAGTTGAAGTATTGTGCAGCCCAGTCAATGCAGATTTCACTTCCTAAGCTGCTGTTCAGGGACCACATTTTCAAGCATTGGGACTTGGAGGATGAAACAGTGCATGGTAGTACAACCCATTAGACTGCACAGATGGGTGCACAGAGCTGATGAGAAGGATGCCGCATTCCTATCTACCAAATTGTTTCTTTAATGATACAGTATAGAGCAGTGTTTTTCAACCACTGTGCCGCGGCACACTAGTGTGCCGTGACATAGTGTAAGGTGTGCCGTGGGAAAAACACCCGCTGGGTGTTTTCAGCNATCCAAATAACATAGTCCAGTATCATATAATCAGTTTGCAAAACTTACAATAGCTCACAGCACTTTCTAACAGCCAGCGTCCAAAACACTCAGATCAGATCAGTCCAGCATCTAATGAAAAAGAGACCTAACAGTCATTCTGGCTCCCTCTTATGGCCAATTGAGGAAAACAGAAAACCAATCACATTTTACAGTGTGATTTAAAGAAACAGGTACAGCATTGTTGCATGATTTATATATTGCCAACCAAACCATTAGATTATATTACTAACAAGAGCTATCTCAATTACTTCTGTGAGAGGGAACTTCTTCTAAATATAAATATTTGCCTTTCTGGAGATGCCAACTGTGAGAAACCAGCTGCTGCCTAGATATAATTTCAAGTAATGCTGTGCCAGAAATCTATCCTACATTTCAGTTCCTCAAACTTTTTCTTACCCTTCAGAATAGACTTTTAAATTCTATTGTTTTTGTTTACTCTTAAGGTTCTTCTGAATTGATTTCAAATTCTTCTGGGTAGTGTTTCTGAGCTTACCTCATTCTTGAGGGAGACAGTGGGAACAGCTCCTTTTAATGTTTTTTTTAATGCATCCTTCCATTATCTTGAAATTTCTTGTGGTGCAATATTCCCAGTCTGAAGAAAAGCTAATGGTAAGAGTTCCCTTATTATGTCTTCACTAGGAATTTAATGGAGTTGTGGAAACACAGAAAGCTGCTGGAGAGATTATTGTGCAATAAAAGACACATCTCTTTGCACAGCTATTTTATTGTGCAAGTACAAGGACGCCATGCCCCATCCATAAGTATTTTTACAGAATACTTTTATTTTCTAAATGACAAATTTAAAGCAAATGATCTTTCATCAAATTGAACAGGAACCAATGATTTCAAATGGTAAGTTTGCAACAGATGATAGGGTCTAACAAGATACTATTTTTAAAATTCAGGGTTGTCAGCTTTAGGATCAGCAAACCCAGGAATCCTCATTATTTCAGAAAGAAATAATTTTGCTCAATGATGTCACTCCACACAATATTAAATTAAGATTTTGATAATTCTTCTGGGAAAATGAGAACAATTCTTATGCATACATCTGATAGGAAATATAAATCACTTGCTNTTCTGAACCTGGCTGCCAAATGAACTTTTCCTGTATCCTGAGAAGTCTAAAGCCTGTCATTTTCTGCAACACCTTAATCAGTTACCACCCACTGAAGGCTTTTGCCTCCTAATACTCCAGCACCTTCCAGGGATTGAAAATGTAGCCTTTCTGGTGCTGGAAAAAAATGTGATTTCTTATAGATCTTTGAAAGGGGCAGCTTTTCACCATAATTTTTGCTGCAGAGGCCAAGAAAGTTAAGAGTTTCAGCATCTTCCTTTCTCCAATTTCTTCTCTTTTCTAATTGCCCACAACCTCTTTGGCTTGTTCAGATCTCTTGTAAAGTTGTAACCCTACTGCTGTTCCACTTCTCAAGCCAAATTGGCAAAGGAATCATAAGGCAACAGGTTTGAGCATATTTTATTACAAGTATCTTTTTTTTAATTTCAGAAACAAACAGTATAATTGGTTCTTTCTCTCCCTGCTCCACATGCAAGCAGCCCAAAGAAATTAATGCACGGGAGTGCCTTTGAGTATACCTCCTCTGCTTTCCATCAACTTGATGAGCATTCACATTTTAAGCTTATTAAAAGTTAGTTCACCAAATAGCTCATAGTTTTGATGAGCCTGCACTGATCAATTCATCCACAAGAGGGCCTAAATATGCATGTATAGAATATACGGTATTCTGTTAAAAAAAATTAACAAAGAATGATAAATGTGGCCAGGGAAACATAACTAAGAAATATCTTTATTGGGGTTACCCAAAATATCACAAAATCTGTATAAGACAAAATGTTTGAGAATGAGAGAAATGCTGCCTCTAACATTCAAGTATGCTTTCAAGCATCTTTTATACATGGGCATCTGTAAGGAGAGAAGGTCAAAAATGTCAGACTTTGTACTTCCAATATTTTGCACAATGACATCATGATCCACTAAGAGATCATGACAATCTATAACAGGTGCCAATAAATGCTGGGAGCTGGATTGGGCTGCAGAATTGATTGGAAAGTGGACAGATGTATCTCAGATTGTTGCTGAGAAAATCCCAAGGACATGTAAAAGCTGAGCTCAACTTGAGGGCAATTCTCTCTTTTTGCAATGCACATTTTGCTATAGTGCCAATAATCATGTGGAGAGCTATGCAAGCTCCTGTTAAAAGCAGTTGAAGCAGCTAAGAGTGTTAAGGAAAAGTTCTTCTAACAAATATTGTTCTGAGGCGAGGGAAGAAAGGCCTACAGTATAGTAGGTCTCCCTCTCAGAACTGGAAATCACTCCCTAAATAAACAGCTTACAGCCATAACATTCTGAAAGAAATGTCTCAGAGTTTAAATCTTATTTGGTCATTCCACAAGCTACAGCAATGGACTTTGCCAGGGAAAAATGCAGGATACAGTTAATAGAAGAGGGTTTGGAAGAGAGAAAGAAGGGGGGAAATGGGTCCCTCTTTTTAGAAATCAGTCTCATTTTCTTCATCACTGATGTCTGTGAGTGGGAATTCTTGAAGAGTCTTTTGAGTGATGGAACTTCTGGGCTGCATGGAACACTCCTGGCTTAGAATTGCCTGAAGAGAGGAGACAGGGTTGAAGGGAAGCAAAAGACCAGCATGAGCAT